TTCTACAGGTTAGTCCCAGTGAGCCTCGGGGACTCATTTACAAGAGAGACCTGGTTTAACAGAGAGTGATGACAACAACAATAAACCGTTATAAAGGATGCGTACAAATGTATTATGTTAAACAAATGAAAATAAAATGGTAATTAAGAGGATAATTAAAAGGAAAAGTAGCAAAAAAACAGCTAGATTATAAGGCGGTGTATAGAACTAAAAACAGGAACTGAACAGATGTTTGAAGCCACTTAGAGAGGTCAAAGGTCGAGAGCTTCACATCTTTTTACAAGATGTTCATTTTTCATGGATTCAAAACTAGTCATTTTAATTTTTATGATAACATTTCATTATTTTTATTCTAGACTGGTTCTCTCCTCTAAGTGATATCTTACTGTTAGCTTTTAGCTATTAATTATTATTATTATTTTTTTGTTAATCACTGTTTTTCTTTGCATTGATTTCCAACCCAAGTTTTGCATGAAATACAATCTTCCTGGTCAGTTTAGCAAACCATCCATCATGTTTACCCGCTTCTTCCATGTTGGCTCACGGGGGTCACCGGTGCCCATGTCCAGCCATCACTGTGCGGGGGCGGGTTAGCAAACCTCTGATCATTTCTTATTTCATCTTATTTATTATGATTCAACCAACCAGCAACTGTCACGTATATAATCTTTATCTCACCATAAGACCATTTTGCTAGATTATTTTTCATTCAACATTTATTTATACAAGTTAATCCCACTGAGCCTCTGGGACTCACTTACAAGATTGCTCAACTCTTGTAATTTTAGAAGAATTGAACCTTTCTAAGGAATAATTTATGCACCCCGAATATTAGAAATGTTTTCATCATCTGTTAATTGCAATCTAAACTGTCGTATACCAAATTTGCTCTCACTCTGATGTTTAAAAACAATGTTTAGCTGTAATTTGTAAGTCTCTTATTCTTTAACTTTTGTCTAAAGTAAGGGCAAGATAAAAGAAAAACTTCTCAGATTATTGTAAACCAGTGAAGCAAAACAAAAATAAATATAACTGATTTCAAAGCACAACATAATGAAAGACACCGTCCTCCCCTTAAAATCTTCACTCTCCATCCCTGAGAGTCAAACAAGGACGTATGGTTCACTCGTTGTAGCTTTATCCATTTCATCCATCATTTCTTTATTCATTTGACTATGATGAAGTGAGACAGATGATCATCGTTCTCAGATCTGTCCTCTCTTTTTGCTTTCAACTTGTCAATGTGAGACAATGAATGAAACCTTCATGTCCCGTGGAAGAGACATTTGTCCAGATGTCCTTTTCTTCCATTTCCCATTGGGTTTGTGGATTTTTTACGTCTCCATTTTACTCCAAAACTCATGTTGGTCAGTTCAGAGTCAGAGGTTCTTTATTTGTCATTCACACCTCATGTGGTACACGTGGTGGAACGAGATTATGTCCACAGGGTCCCAGTTACATCCAACAATAAAATGTATAATAAAAACAGTAATAACATCAAAGATATGAACTAAGAAAAACATCAACTAAATATACACTAAGCACTGACAGCATAAACACATTATGTCAAACATCAGCACAAACATGAACATGAGTCTGTGAGCAGATGAGCACGCATGAACACATCAACATGAAACAGATCAGCAGCAACATGAAACAGATCAGCAGCAACATGAAACAGATCAGCAGCAACATGAAACAGATCAGCAGCAACAAG